CTTGCCTATGAGGATCGAGTTATGAGAAGTTGACGTATCTCGATGGTTAAGGTTCTTTGGAGTAACCGTGGTATTCTGGAGGCCACCTGGGAGACTGAGGAATCCATTCCAATTTCATCCTTATAACTCTCATTCTAAATTAGTCCTTATACTTTTGAACATTTCAATTTCACCCCAAACTATGAATCTCATTCTAAATTAGTCCCAAACTTTTGAATCTTCTAATTTCTTCCTGAAATTCATCCAAATGTATAGTCAATTCAACAATAGTTTAACCTATTTTTTTTAAAAAAAGCATATAATAATATAACTTGGCCTAACAATTTTATTAACAAGGGATTTGATTAATATATAGGTATAATTTGAGATGAAATTGAAATGTTCAAAAAGTTTGGGGGACTAATTTAGAATGAAGGTCATAGTTTGGTGATGAAAATAAATTATTCAAAAATTTGAAGACTAATGTATAATGATAGTTATAATTTAGATATGAAATTAAAATATTTAAAAGCTTAGGGAGAAATTTAAAATGTGGGTCATAATTGAAAGATGTGCGATGCAATTGACTCTTATTTATATTGTTTTAAATATATTTTTTATTATTTAGAAAAAACAATCAATATATATATATATAATTAAATTTAAATAAAAATTTTAATATTAAGTTATAACCCAAATCATACCGGTCCGCCATAGACACATCGCAAGTTTTACCCGGACCGGCCCGACCCAATTCTTACCATCTCTCACGAAACAGCGAAAGCAAACTTCTCGACTAAGCGGGAAAACATCCCTAGAAAGTTTTTGAAATCTCTCTCTCTCTTCTCCATATCCAGTGTTCTTTTGCTGTTCCAAAGTCCCAAACTTTCCTTCTGTTTCTCTCAAAATTTTCTCGGAAAACAAACAGGAGAAATCCCCCCCCCCCCCAAATTCGCCCACCCCTAAACTCCGGGTTTCCCCCCAGATGATTTCGACTCACGGTCAACGCCGAAACAAACCCTAACTACGGGCGAAATAAGATGACCGGCCACCAGAACAACCCCCAAGGAGGAACTTCCGGCGGTGTCAATTTTGGGAAGTTCCATGGAGTCCAGCCGGAGCGTGATTTGGAAGCTAATTGGGAAGTCGATCTTGCCAAAAAGCTTGAGGACTACCTCTTAAAGATTTGCTCCGGTGAAATTACTGGCTCCCAAGACGATGACGGTCACAGCTCAGTGAATTTCGGCGAAGGTTCTGCCTTAATTTTCGATTCACCCTAAAAATGAATCTTTTTTTCCTTTTAAATTCTTTCTGGGTTTTCTAATTAATATATATTTATGCATTATTTTTTTGTGTAGCTGCATTGCTGCTTCAGGGTTCAGTTCAAGTGTATAGCCGGAAAGTAGAGTATCTATACAACTTGGTTTTGCAGGCTTTGGAGTTTCTCTCTCAAAAGAGGTTTCTTAAAGTTCCCAAATTCTTTGTTTTTTGATATTTTTATTTTCCATTTCAGTAAGGGTTACTCCTTAAATGAAGCAATTTTTTCCCTTAAAAATGGTGCGTATGTTTTAACAGGCAACAAGACCAACCCGATGGCGCATCGGATCTGGCCGAACAAAGTGCTGCACATGCTGCTTCGGACGAAGACAAATTTTGGGACTTAGATGACATCCCAGGTGACCTTTAAACCAATGACTTTTTTCCTTTTGGATTGAAATTATACTGATAGTATCAGCTGAAATGAGTGCTTACATTTGCAGTGGAAGCGAAGATTAGCTTAGATAGTTCGTCCAACAAAGACACTCTGGTTAACCACTTTGTGAAGCCCCCTGCAAATTTAGTTGTCCTTGAATGTGATTGCTTAGACACTTCTGGTGATGGCAGCGAGTTAGAGTCCTATCTGGTATTTATAGTTGCTTCACTCAATAGTATGATGAAGTTTTCAGAACTATGTTGCCTAACTCTTTGTTTGGTATGCACATATTTGTGGTTGTAGTTGGCAACAAATGATCTCTACCGGGATTTTATTCTATTAGATCCATATGATTCGGTGGCAGTCGATGATTATTTGAAGGTCAATGAAGCTGGTCAAGGTGAAAATGGCACTAATAAGGGCAGTTCAAGGCGCAAGACCTTTCAGTCTCCAACAAGGCATTCAGCGGGGACTGGACGTAAATCATCTCACCGAATGAGTAAAGATACTAGTGTTAATCAAGCTCCTAGGGTTGATTGCGATTTTGATGTTGATGGCCGTAATATGGGACGTGATCCATATGCCGCTGATGACTTTGGAAATGTAGATCATGGATTTGATATGGATGATAGGCATTCAGAACCTAGAGACTTGGATGATTCAGATGATGATGATAATGATCCATGGAAACCTCTGAATCCCCATGAACCCGGAAACTTGAAAGTGAGGCCTTTCAGAAAAGGTAGTTAAATTTGGTTTCTTGCATGCTTTTTGTCTACCTATATAATTTTGGTCGGTACCTAATAGTCTTTTCTTTTTCCTTCACAAGCAGTAAAAGCTTCCAGAAAGCACGCGGTAAATTTGACGAAGAGTAATCCTATAACTGCTTTGTTTCCACTTGCTAGATTGCATGGGACCATTAGTCCCGAACTTACAGAAATGTGGGAGAAGCAGCAGAATGCCTTTGAAAAACAAAGGGAATCCAAGTCTCCTCCATTATATGAAAAGGTATATTTACTAAAAGTTTTACTTAGGTGAAGGTGATGGACAGTTGATTTGTAAAACAAGTATGTTTATTTCAGCTTCGTCAATCACTAATTGGGCGAGGATCTGGAGCTGCTAATGCTTTTCCTAGTTTCGAAGAAGATAACGAGGACTATGGATATAATGATGAGAATGTTGATTTTGGTGGACCCGATTTTGGCAAGCCGGAGAACATGCCTATGGATGAAGATTTACCTTTCACGAACGAAAAGGTTAGATTTGTTGTTATATTTAGCCACTAGAAAGTGTGAGATTTTCTGTTGCTCATTTATTGATCTTTCATAGCATTGGGATGGGGATGCTGAGTTTGGAAAGAGTGAAATGTTTGACAATGGAGATCCGTGTTCTCAAGCAAGCCTGGAAGATCTCTGTCGCTCTCACCTGGTAAGCATACTCTGTCTTGTATCCAAGTGATGTTAGGGAAAGTGATCGGTGATTACTTCCAGTTAGCTTGGGCTTGGCACTATAAATTATGCATTGAACTATGGTTTGATGTTGAATTGTTGCTTGGATATCAATTGCTTGAATAAGTTGGATGTATTTTTTCCCGCAGGATGCTCTCCTTGCCAGTATAGCTGAAAACGAGAAGCAAACTGAACTGGCTGCTCGAGTTTCATCGTGGAAACAGAATATCGAGCACAACCTGGAAGAGCAGGTAAATAAAGTTAGCTTTAATTCCATTTCTTGATTTTGGTTTTACATCATTATAATCGCTTTGTTCTTTTCTCCTGGTGATTAAGACTAAGGACGCCATTTCGTTTTTAATAGGATTCACATCCTCCGTTTGATATTCATGAGTACGGTGAAAGGATTATTGAGAAATTCTCGCTTGTTTCCGACAAAGGAGATGTAATGTCGTACGGTGATCTTGTTGAGGGTCAAGAAAAGCATGATGTTGCTCGATCCTTTTCCGCACTCCTCCAATTGGTAATTCTTCCTCATTTATAAGCAGCTCCTTGTAGCCATTTCTTTCTAGGTTGAAGTTGGTTAGTAAATTGTTGTAGTAACACTTTCACGCGAAATTTCACTCTTCTCATACAGTTGAACAATGGAGATGTTGATTTAGATCGAAGCAGACTCGACAGAGAGTCTGTTTGTTATACGAACGTAATCCCTTTCCATGTCCGACTCCTCAAGCATGACAAGAGAAGAGTGGAACTTCGAATGCCCAAAAGAGAGTTAAATTGCCCTCGAGTAAAAACGTAGAAAAGGCGATAGAAACACGTCTTCACCCGAGAAACATCTACCGGTCAACTCGGATTCAGATTACGGTTCAGCAAAGTTGTCGTCACAACAGAACCACAAAGCTTCTGCAAAGCTTGGCAGTGTAAGGTGCACTCCAGAAAACAAGAGGAGACGAAGTTCTCGATTGGTTGAACCCGTGAACTTGCAATCGGCATTGTGACACAAAACATGGTATAGTTGTGGCAGCAATTCAACAGTTCAGCTGAATAGCTGTGAAGATTTATGACCATAGATTCTATAGATTATGTGACAATGTTAGGTATGAATTTATATTATTGGTGGTGTAACTCAGTCCTAGGATGTTTTATCTCTGTCCCAAATGGCTTGTATTAACAATACTGCTACCACTACTACTACATGTTTTCCTTGTAGATTTTGCACTCATTTTATGTAATAATAGTGTCAACTTGTTTACTTAACTAACACGTAAATTAGCCACGTGGCTAATACATTTTTGTCTAACGACATCAGTGTGAGTAAATTAAAAAATTTTAAAATTCAATGAGCCAAATAAGATAGAGAATAAATTTCAGTAATAAAATTTGTAGTTTACCCTTTTACATTAATATATTAAATTTTATGTAAATTGAAACTTCTTAAATATAAAACACTTATTTAATATTATGAAAATATAAATATAAATTAAATAAACATAAAATTCAATTCCAATAATCATTAATTTTAACATGTAAACCATAAACTATCAAAATATTACGATTGAATTCGATTAATTCGGTTTCTTTATCACACCCTATTTTTAACGTCCAGCAAAGGAAGGGTCGAGACAATGCATGCTAATTTAATGTATGCGCCCATCCCACTACATGCCATCCCTAACAGATTCGAATATGTCGAAACGAAAAAACCGTTGCTTTTGGTCGAACGCACGATGGCTGAAGTCACCGAAGTGCCTTAGCAACACCGTACCCCTCCAAAGGGCCCCTAACGAGGAATACCAATGCGCCATTATCACTCTCTCGGTAACAAGAAAACTACAACAGAAGATACCCTAACCGACGGAATGTAATTGACGTCCATGGTTCAAATTCGAGTTCAGGTGTAATGAAATATACAAGTTAGGCACAAGAACTTTAGGATATAGGATTGACAAACAAACAAACAAGCACGCTTCGGCTCAAAACATACCGTTTCTAACCGCAGCTGGGACATGTAAAAAACTCTTGATCTCGAGATCACCACTCTTCATCGTTATAACAAACACGATCAACCGGATTTGAAGAGCAAAACCGCTTTCTGATCTAAATAAAAATAAACAAAGTGGTTTGTCTCATGAGTTACGTACGAACCTGCATCAAAATAAAAGAAACAAATATTAATGCAACACGGTTTTGCAGCGTGGATGGAATTATCATTCTAATTTGTTTTCAACTAAACACGAGATCTAAAACTCTAAGGAAATATTCATCACATAAAGAAACCTGAAAGAAAATGTTCTAATCTATGCATATGGTACGATAACTATAACTCGATATTCGCCTTATGGTAGATTACCCAGAACTACTTTACAAATACGGTAGCACGATAACTAATAACTGAGGAAGTGTACCAATATCAGTCCAAGTTTATAAATAACGCTGTTTTACATAGGCTGTATATCATGAGACAGCACACATCAATGATTATAATGTCTAGCATACAATCCACGAAATCCAGATGGAACACCAAAGAGTATGATTAGGGTAAACTACCAATGCATTCCCAAAATTATAGCAGATAAAATTCTGTGGTATGTAGGAAACATATCACATTAATTCCATGTTCCATAGAACAAGGTTGTTGGAGGTATCAATTAGGTTATTAAACACATTGATGAATTATTATTAGCCCGAGCTTTCCAACTCGTGTCTCGGGCTATATAGAGGTCTTGTCGCTTAGAGTGCGCCTAGTGCCCTTGATAACATTGGCAGTAAATCCACACAAGGCCAACGGCCACACACGCACCACAAATGGAACCAGGCTCTATGAAATCCAGTATAAACTAAAAAATAGTGAAATATAACAAGAAGAGACAAATCATGATTGGATGGCAGACGGATAAGACCATCCTCTTGACGAACGCCAAAGTTCTGAACCATTCATTGAAGAACAGATAAAGTTTGAGACCAAAAATCCGAGTATTCCCTTACGCCGAAAGCAATAAATCTACTAAATTAATTGTTGATCTTAACCCATATTTTCCATAGCAACGAAGAAACAATTACAATACAACACCAGAACTAGATAAAGTAAATGGAAATCTAAATTTCTTTTAAGCCTAGATCTGCTTTTGATTTCATCTAAAATACCAGCATTACTTGAACGAAACTAATTTGCATAAAAATCAAACTTGTGTATATCCATGTAGATAAATTAAATCTAAATGGGAATTTGGGTTACCAAAATTTCGACCAACGATGCAATGCCAAGTGGGTCCGTGTTTCTTATCGAATTCCTTCTTTATGTGCTCCGCCACATCTTTCTCTACATTGTTCTTCTCAAATGCCTAATCGAAAACCCAGAAGGAAAAAAACAGTAAAGAGTTATAAAATTTATAATAGTTTCTAATAAACCAAGATCAAGCGAACAAAACCCAGAAACCAAATCTAATCGAAAACCATTAAAATGGAAGTTCGAGAGAGAGAGAGAGAGAGAGAGAGATAGAGCTAACGGAGATGGCAATATTGACAGCTTCTTTTTGCACGTCGTCTCTCATGTCGGCGCTTTTGATGACGACTTTTCTGGCTCGTAAAGTAGTCGATTCCGCAGTAAGCGCCGGAGAATGTTTCCGTTCATCGGTTGTCGGTTTCACCGTCAGAGCTCCGGTGATGCTTCTCTTTGATTCTTCACTGCTCATTTTTGGAGTTTTTTCTTTCAAAAAAAAAATCTCAGAGCCAATATACGACAGGTAAGAGCAGAGAGGACAGAGATTCAATTTCTCTCTATTCTTTTACTATTGTTTTGTTTTGTTTTGTTTTGTTTGTAATCGTGAGCGGTAAGACAGTGTGTAACTGTACTCTTAGCTTTTTTTTGGGTAAAACTATTCTGCAGCCCCCAAACTTTGCAATTATATCTAATTGGTACCTGTATTTTATTAATCTAGCTAAGTACAAGATAATATATGTTCAAAGATAATTTTCAACCATATGACATTAAACTCTTACATCCTAACATTCTTGGTGCTTGAACCCGAGACTTCAAGAAATAACAACAATTTCTTTACTACTGAGGTCATTTGATTCGTGCCTAATTGGTAATTTTTACCTAAATAGTACTTGAATTACCAATTCCGTCAATAAACTTATTTTTTAATTATTATTTTTCAGTGATGACGTAACACTTTAAAAATATATAGGGTAAATTAAGTGTTTCACATCTAAATTATCAGTTTTGGTCTATTGTAATACCTAAACTTTTAATTTTTCAAAATCATATATAAAGTTTAACTTTTGTTTCATTTTAGTATCCACCGTTAAAAACTTTAGTTTTTGTTTCATCACGTACCCCATTCAAAATTTAACGTTAAATTTTACAAATATTGAAAATGTAGGTACTAACATAGATAAAAATTGATAGTTTAAGTACTAAATGCGTTAAATTTTTAACGATAGAGTACTAAAATTAAAATAAAAACTAAACGCCAGTTATAGTTTTAAAAAATTGAAAGTTTAGGTACTAAAACGGATCAAAACTGATAATTTAGGTACTAAATGCATAGTTTACCCAAATATATATTAAACCTATTGAGTAGTCTATGTAGGGAATGTTGTTTTCCTTTAGCGATCTTAGTTCGAGTACGTGCGTTGTCGATGACTAAAAATATTCTAAATAGATATTAACTTGTAATCATTCTAGTTTATTAAAAAATAAATATTTATTTTAATTTATTTTTATATTTAATAATTGTTAATATGTAAACCTCAAATGGAGCACCATTGACAATAGTTTTAGTAATTTGTAAATATCAAATTAAATTAAATTTATGTGCATAAATTATATAAATTTAAAATTCATATATTATATTCCACATTTTTTTATTAAAATCTAATTAAAATATATAAAAAATAATTAAATGTTATAATATTTTTTTATAAAATTTATGATTGAAATATATATATATATATATATATATATAAAATCTAACTTTGCTTTGAAGGTATGTTTGCTGGGTTGTCCCTGTAAAGGAGGCAGCTCAAATTCTTGTTTATATGTTATTTTCATGATTCACTAATTATGGAAATGATATAAATATTGACTTCTAGATGTGTGTTTAATAATATATATATATATATATAAATGATTGATTTTTTTTATCAAATGCCACATCTGTCAACAAATGAAATCCTCTTCATTACCTCCATGCGTATTACTTCAGCCACTTCCTTTATCATCTTTGGTTTTTGAAGGCATTTCAATGGATTTCATTACTGGTTTACCTCCTTCACAAGGTAAATCAGTCATTATGGTTGTTGTTGATCGTTTGTCAAAATATGGTCACTTCATTGCGTTACCCCCACACTTTACTAGCGCCACTGTGGCTACTGCTTTTGTGTCGGAAGTGGTTCGCCTTCATGGAATCCCAACTGAGATTGTTTCAGACCATGACAGTCGATTTATGACCCATTTTTGGTGCGACCAGCTTATCATCCACAAAGAGATGACCAAACCGAAGCTTTAAATCGTTGTTTAGAAATGTATCTTCGCTGCTATGTATCGGATTGTCTGAAAATTGGCTTACCATGCTGCCTTGGGCCGAGTATTGTTACAATACATCATTCCAAATGTCGGCGTAGATGACTCTATTTGAAGCTCTTTATGGACGGCCACCTCCGACTATTTCTCGTTATATTCGGGATTCTTTCGGTCACCCTCTTCTTGATGCTTTCTTGGTCCAAAGAGACGAGGTGTTGCGTACTCTTAAAATCAACTTGCTTAAGGCTCAAGCACGCATGAAAAGTTTTGCGGATCAACATCGTCGAGACGTAGTCTTCAATGAAGGTGATTGGGTTCATATTAAGTTGCAACCTTATCGGCAGAATTCTCTTCATCTTCAACGCCACAACAAGTTGGGTCTATTGTGGAATTCGGGTTAATTTCCACCAATAATAACAAATTCACCTTGAAAACTATTATCTAGGTGACTAGTGTGAAAACGATTGTATTAAAAATCACCCCAAGGTAGATTCCCAGAAAAGAGTGGAGGGGTCACAGTGATCTCTCTTAAAACCCACTCTCCTTAGACAGAACTACCAAGACAAGTAATTTTAATAGGACAATAATTAACAACAACTATACCCGACAATAGCTATTAAATAAACATAAAAGAGAACACCAAAATTTTAACGAGATTAGGCCAAAATTATGCATACATCCTCGAACACTACTAAAATAATATTTCACTAAAAGAGAGAAATAGCCTTTAATATAGAAGAAGGCTTATATTTGTGGGGATACTAAACTAAGGAGGAGGAGGGCTCTATTTATAACAAAAGAATTTCCCCTCCTCCTTATACAAAACCAATGTGGGATTCAAAATTTGCCAAAAAAAACCAACAAATCTTCACCTTGGCAAATTCCACACACATCTCTCAAAAAATTCAATCTTCAGTAGTGTCTGTAAATTCATCTTTCAATTTGTAACAATATTGACCAAGTCTAAACAATGTTTAAACTTGACCGCAGTTACCACTTTTGTCAACATATCAGCAGGATTCTCAGTGGTCCGAATCTTCTGGATTATGACTCCACCTTCTTCTAGAATCTCTCGTACAAAGTGATATCGAACATCGATTTGCTTCGTCCTTGCATGGTAAACCTGGTTCTTTGCTAAATGAATAGCACTCTGACTATCACAGTGCACTTTGATGTGTTTCTGTTCCATTTCCAATTCACCAAGCAATCATTAAAGCCAAATTGCCTCCTTCACAGCCTCTGTATCTGCCATATACTCTGCCTCTGTAGTAGACAAAGCCACTGTTGACTGTAAGGTGGACTTCCAACTGACTGGTGCTTTTGCAAATGTAAACACATAACCAGTAGTTGATCGACGCTTGTCTAAATCTCCTGCAGAGTCTGAATCACAATACCCAACTACACACTGATAATCTTGTTTGTCCCACTGAAAGACCAAACCAACATCTACGGTGTTCAGAATATACCACAGAATCCATTTCACAACTTGCCAATACTTATTTCCAGGATCATGCATATACCTGCTCACAACTCCAACTGCCTGTGAAATATCGGGTCTCGTACACACCATTGCATACATCAAGCTACCAACAACACTTGCATACGGAACCTTTGACATGTATTCCCGTTCTACATCATCCTTAGGTGACATGGATGCACTGAGCTTGAAATGAGGAGCAAGAGGTGTACTAACTGGTTTTGACTTCTCATTCATGCCAAAATGTTTTAGTACCTTCCTCAGATATTCTTTCTGAGACAAACAAAGCCTCCCCAATTTCTTATCCCTTGATATCTCTATGCCTAGAATCTTCTTCGCTTCACCAAGATCCTTCATCTCAAACTCCCTGTTCAATTGAGTCTTTAGTTTCACAATTTCTGTTTGTCTGCTGGAAGCTATCAACATATCATCAACAAAAATAAGAAGATATATATAGGATCCGTCTTGTAGCTTGCGTAAATACACACAATGATCATATTTGCTTCTTGTGTACTTCTGCCCTATCATAAACTTGTCAAATCGCTTATACCACTGCCTTGGAGATTGCTTCAATCCGTACAACGATTTTTCTAATTTGCACACAATCTCTTCTTTTTCAGCAACTTTGAATCCATCTGGCTGAGTCATGTAGATTTCCTCATCCAAGTCTCCATGTAAAAATGAAGTTTTTACATCCATCTGAACTAGTTCCAAATTCAACTGCGCTACCAAAGCCAACAAAATTCTGATGGAGGAATGTTTTACAACTGAAGAAAATAATTCATTATAATCAACTCCCTTCGTTTGAGCGTAGCCTTTAGCCACCAATCTTGCTTTGTAGCGGATGTTATTCTTGTCAGGAAATCCATCTTTCTTTGTATATACCCACTTGCACCCAATTGCCTTCTTTCCCTTCGGAAGACTAGCTAGTTTCCATGTCTGATTCTTTTGAAGGGATTGCATTTCTTCATTCATGGCGATCCTCCACTTTTTATGTTCTGAACTTTGGACTGCTTCATTAAAAGTGGCAGGAACGTCATCAATTGCAATTGGTGATGCAAAAGAGACCATATCAGCATAACGAGCAGGTTGTCTAATGGTCATCTTTCCCTTTCTGAGTACAATTGATTCATGTTGCTGTAGAGGTTCTTGGGTCTGAACCTCTTCTTCATCTAAATCTTCTTCTACCATAGGAAAGTCAACATCAGTTTCTTTACTGGCTGGGACAATTCTGCTTCTTTCAAACTCCACCTGTTTGGGAGTTCCATCTGTCTGCTCCAATTTTTCTGAAGTCACATTTCTCAACATGGTAGATTCATCAAAGGTAACATCCCTGCTGAAGATTATTTTCTTTGTTTCTGGACACCAAAGACGATAGCCTTTCACACCAGAGGTGATCCCCATAAAGATCACCTTCTTTGCTCTTGGATCCAGCTTTGACTCCTTAACATGGTAATATGTAGTGGAACCAAACACATGTAAGGAATCATAATCTGTAGCAAGTTCTCCAGACCATTTCTCTAATGGTGTTTTACCACCAATAGCAGTCGATGGTAATGGTTGACAAGGTGACAAGCATAGACCAAAGCCTCAGCCCAAAATTCTTTGTCTAACCCAACATTAGACAACATACACCGAATATTCTCCACTAATGTCCGGTTCATACGCTCTGCCACCCCATTTTGTTGTGGTGTATATCTGACAGTGAAGTGCCTGACAATATCTTATTCTTCACAGACTTTCAGAAATAGATCATTTTTGTACTCTCTACCATTATCTGTACG